TCTCTGCCGACTTCAGCCCAGCCCAGCTCAACCCCACCCCACCCCCCACCCTGAGGTCTCCCTGGCATTACCCATTCTCCTGACTTCTGTTAGTCCCCAGTGAGACTACACCCATTCTGACAGCGAAGACTGTGATATGAACACCACTGACTAAGTGAATCATGGAATAACGTGCGGTCCCCTCAGTGCCAGTTTTGTGACTGTGACCCACAGCAAGAAATGTGTTTTGCGGCATGACACAGCACATGCATTTGTGTGTCTTTAAATGTCGATCTCCATCTACATGTGGCTAAAACAAAGTTTCACACAAAAATATACATCTTTACCACGTGTAATCCATTATTCTAGTTGCTATTAATTCATTTGGCTAAATGCTGGTTGCAACCCACTAAATTGATTTTAAGCCCTGACATTGGTTGTGACCCACAGTGTTCCCCATGATAAGCCGCACACAGGGTCAGATTAAGACCTTCAGAGGTCCTGAACTCTGAAAAGTTTAGAAGGGAAGGGCCATGGCGTGTTTACAGAGAGGAGGTCAAGTCAAGGGGAGCTGCAGTGGAGGGTGCGTGGAGGGCACTGGGGGCAGAAGCCTGGAAAATCAGGCTGGGTTTAGGAAGCAAAGGTCTTCAACTGCCACACAAAGAATTCTGGACATTTCCTCTAGGCAACTGGGAATAACTGGAAGTTTTCCAGGGCAAGAGGAGTATACTGAGGCCTGTGGTTTAGAAAGATCGCTGGGGTGGCTGTGGGGAGGATGGATGGATTGGAAGGGCCAAGTCAAGGACAGGGGAACAGACCTCGAAGCTATTCCAGGCATCCAGGAGAGAGCGGACGGATGAGGCCATAATCAAAGGAACAATCGGGAGAGTGGGGAGCACAGAGGAGACAGATGTGAGAAAACGGCTGAGGTTTTAGCTTCCATGACCCGGCCCATATGGTGCTGGTTACGGAGGTAGGTACAGAGGAGGTTTTGGGGGGAGAAAAGATCATTCTCAGGTTTTGATTCTTTCAACGAACAGTGGGACTGACACAGAGAAACTAACATTTTACTTTGTCAAGTTGGAGCACTCAAGGAAAAAAACTAACATCCGCTATCATTTCATAAAAGAAAAAATATTTTCTCCCTCCAAGAATAGGAAAGGCCTGCCTAATCCCAGAATGAAAGGCAGTCCTTTATAACTGAGGACATTTTGATTATTGAAAAACTCTACTTTGGATGTTTTTCCCATTTTGCTGTGACCCATTGAAAATATCACTGTGTATCATCCTAATTTGGGGGCTGTAACTGACTGCCACAGATCTGGGGAATAGGCAGAGAGGTCAGCAGCTGAGATCCGGAGGAGTGGTTCTAGAAGTAGGTGGAAAATCAGAAGGTAATCATGGAGGCTAAGAGACGAAGGAGGGTTGAAGAAATGAGGACTTGGCCAACAGTGTCTTTTGCCACACAGTGTTCAAAGAGATCACCGGACTTGACAATTAGGTTATTGGTGACCTTTAATAGTGCCCATTCACTAGGAAGATGGGGTAGGGGGCCAATTGTAGTAGGTTGAGGTACATACGAGAAGTTGGGGAAAGTGGCAGTCTATAGGCTCTCCTTTCAACACATTTGAGGGTGATGGAAAGAGAAGAGAGGAGGGAGGGAGATGGGAAGAGAAAGAGAGAGAGAGCGGGGGGGGGAGAGAGAGAGAGAGAGAGAGAGAGAATATGTTAGAGAAACAAGAGAACCCATTTGGGGAGGGAGGGGCCTTATTTTGGGAGGATAAAGAAGACCACCATTTTATAATCAGAGGGAAAGAGCTGATATAAAGAAGCTGAATTTTCCTGAAGAGAAGCACATCTGGAGGAAGGGCCCAGAGAAGGAGGGTGAATGAGGCCAAGGCCCAGGTAAAGGGATTAGCCTTTAACGGGAGGGGCACCTTGCCCCCTGAGAAGGGAGGGCTGGAGGGGAAGGAAGTTGGAGAGGCAGGCCAGTTTTGGGGGTGGGGGGGTGGGGCAGGGCACTGAGTTAATTCATGCTTGAAGGCTTCTGTTTTCTCAGGGAAGTAGGAGGAGAGGGGTGGGGCAGGAACATGGTTGGGAGCTGAAGGAAGTTTGGAATGCAGCCCAGGGAATGTGGAGGCTGGAGCTGGGGCCGGATGGGGGACCACGCTTGACAGGGTGGCTGAGCGGTACCAGGGCCCAGCTGAGGCTGGTTGAGTCCGTCTTCCCCTGTGCAGGCTTCGTCTCCCTCCCTAGACTGTAAGCACCTTGAGGCAGCGTCCTCAGCACTGTCCTCTTTCTAGACCATTCCTTTCCCAGGCAATGCCCAGTGCCATGTAGCTCGGAGGAGGCACCCAGGCCTCTCAGCAGAGCCTGGCAAAGCAGTCACTGACAAAACCCAGCAATACTACAGGGCTGTTAGGGGAAACAGGTAGGATCGTAATCACCCTGACAAGAAGCTCCTCCTTTTGGTCGTTCCCACACCTTTCCTTGCCATCCTGCTGGCCATCTCACTCCTGTTCTGTGCTGACGGCAGAGGACAACAGCCAGGCTCCCACTTTTGCCCAGCAACACTTGCAGGCCTTAAATCCCTCAGGCTGGGGAGAGCCCAACAAGAGGGGCCAGCAGCTTCATCTCCCATGAGCTGAATGGGGTGGTGGCCATTCTTAGGAGATAGCAAGACAGTCATTGTGCGGGGAGAACAAAAGCCACGCAGACAGGTCTAGAGGCTAACGGGGCTCCAGGAGAGCATGCTGGGAGTTGGTATGAGGGGAACCCTGAGGCCTGCTCAGAGGAGGGAAGGGGCTGGACAGCCAGTGGTGAAGGACCACTAGGGAAGAAACACAGGTTCCCGGTCAGAGGTAGCATGATGAGAGGCATGGCTGAGGAGTGTCCATCTCTTCTCTCTTGCCCGCCTCCCGCTTGCCTATTTTCACCGACCATGGCCAGGTAGAGGTCAAAAAGATCCCAGGGAGTGACAACAGGTCTGCTTCTTTCTCCTTCACGTGCCCTTTTCTTCCAGCCCTCTCTTCCACCCGGCTCCTCCTCTTAGCGTCGCCCCTCAGCTGAGCCAGCGGAGCCGTCCGAGCAAACTCTCATCTTCCGGAGGTGCATTTAGTGAGAACCATGACAGACTGATAGAAACTCAGGCTCCCAGCAGCCCTCCTTTCCCCCTTCTCCAGGATCCAGGATCCAGCCTGTACTTACACAATTTGGGGACAGAGAGCTTATAATAAACCTCTGTTTATTGAGGGCTGGGACAGTGCCAAGCCCTTGGGTTAGGTGGTGGCTGGGCTATTAGAATGTTTTTCCTTTGATGGAGCCAAAATGTGTCTCTCTGCAGCTTCACCCATGGGCCTCAGCCTTGCCGTCTGAAGTCACGCAGAACAAGTGTTTTTTGCCCAAGTGTGTTCTCTCCTCTGCAGAGAAGCACTACTCTCTTTCTTTTATATTCTCACGTATCTTGATTTTTTACTACCCAAAGAGCATCAGGTCTTGTGGAACTTTTTAGGAAGTTAAGGAAAGCATAAGGAAGGAAGTAAAAATCCCCCATAGTCTTACCGCAGAAGCGACCCCGGTGACATTCTCTCAGCTTCCTGAAGTGAGGGGTGTGTTTCCAATTTTCCTTTGCTACAAAGCACAGAGTGGGGCTGGAGTTTGAAGAGGGGTGGGGGGGCAGGGAAATAGCAAAGAGGGGCCCTTGAATCAAACTATGCGTTCTATGTTGGCATCTGATTTTTCTCCCCCAGCTTTCTGTGTTGATCACTATACTTCTAGAACATGATTGTGAGTGCCTTCTTCGTATTAGGTTGCAAAGACCTACCCCGATTAATGTAACCGGCTTCCTATTATGGGACATAGAGGTTTTTTCCAAAGTTTTTGGACAGTGACAAACCCGACTGTGACGAATACGCAAGAGGCTAAGTGCATGCCGGTGCTGGACACTGAGCTCTGGAGGAGTATTTGTAACTGGAAGCTTTCTGGCAAAGGCCCCGAAGACTGGCTAAGGCCAAGGACTGTGCTGGAGCCGCTAGGCTTGCTCCCGGGTCAGTACCCATTGACCCAGCCCCCATCACAGAACGTCCAGGCTGGCGGGGCCCTTTGAGGCCGCTGGACCCACACCCTCCTCTCACACATGAGGCAACGGAGGCCTCCAGGCCAGGGATGGGTCTTCAGCAGCTTAGTGGCCTGGCCTACCCCCCCCCCCCCCCCCCCCCCCCCCCCCCCCGAGCAGCACACTGGCTCCTGGACTGGTTGCTGAGCTCTGAGATTTGAAATCTGACGTAGAAGCCCCGAAACGCTGCCCAAACGCCTCTCCCGGACCACTTGCTGCTGAGGCTGGAGAGGAGACTCGGGCACTTTTGCAAATGAACCAACCCATAAAGCAAAGGGCATGGACGATTTCAGGCTCACCCCACGGGCAACTGGACCTGCTCCATCCAGAACCTTCCTTTTTTCCCTAACCCGGGTAGCATGCTTAATGGCAGGCACCTCACGTTAGGTCCACTCGGTAAATCTCTCTGGGGTTTGAGCCGAAGTGACGTATGAATCCCTCACTCTCCTTAGCCAGGTCAGCTGGCCCTTCTTGCCAGGAACGGGCTTTGCCAAAGGCCTGTCTAGCCAGCCCTCTGTGCCTGACAACTTTCTGTGGTTTTGGGTGCTAATGAGCTTCCCTCCTTTGCCCCCCCTCTGGCCTTGCTACTGCCTGGGGAATTTGCACAAATGGTGTGTGATTTGCCCCTTCTGTGTTTTCCTTTCTAACTTGGAGGTAAAGAAAACCCCTCACCCCCCACCGGCTCTCTGTTTATTCAACTGGGAGAGCTTTCACACCCGGGAGGGGGGAGGGGGAGGACCTAGCTCCCCCCTCCCTGAACTCCTGGTCTAAATCTTCATCCCTCCTCCCAGGTCCCCCAGCCCTGCACTGCCCTGAATACTTTATGAGTCCAAGCAGGCCTTATAAAAGGGTCTCCAAGGAAAGGCCAGAAGAATGCAGGAGGTTCTGAGAAATAAGAGCCCCAAGGCCTGCCTGGCTTCAACCCCCTAAGGATGGACCCTTCTGTTCCCACTGCTGCCCCTGTCCCAGCCCTGGCCCTGGCCCTAGCTCCAGCCCTCCCGCAGGCCCCCCAGGCACCTCCTGGCCTATTAAGTCCATCACCACTTGCCTCTGGACAACGTGTAGGTGGCAGTGAAAGGTAAGTGGAACTTGGCCTTTGGCAACCTGAACTCAGGCTTAGTGGGGTGGTGGGGGAGGAAGGAAACTGAAACGTCCAGGATGCCCCTGCTCTCCGTGGAAGGGGAAGGCAAAGTCTCACAGCCTTCAGAGGCTGTGCTTTCCACACCTCAGGCTGGGATACCTCAACCGGCTTCTCACCTCGCTCATCCCTCCGGGCGGCAGGAGGGGACTTGGGACAAGTGGGCATTGCCAAAGCGGAAAGCCGAGCAGCCAGGGCCTCGTGGTCCAAGTTCCTCAGTCCACTCAGAGGAGTAAAAGAGAGCCGAAGTCCCAAGAAGCTTTTGCCTGGGGGACTTTCTCCTTCCTGACCACACCATAAGATCTCCGTTTGCTTTTTTTCTGACCTCTGGGAGTCTAGCAGGGAAGCGGTGGGCCCAAGAATATTTCGGGCCCCTTTCCCCAGTCCAGGAAGACGGTACGACTCTGAGCTCTACTTCTTGGAACAGGAGGCGGGGGCAAGATATTTTCCACCCAACCCTCATTTATTCCTCCAAACATTTAACATTCCGACAAACACTGAGAGACATGCTTACTGTGTACCAGGCATTGTACTGGGTGTTGGGGATTCAGACATCCTCAAACATAAATCTGCTCCTAAGAAGCTCAAGGCGAGTAAACAGATAATTACAAACCAGCGTGACAAGAGCAACGATCACAGTGTTCAAGCAGGGAGGAGAATCCGTGACCCGGGCTCGGGGTCCTCAGTAAAGGCTTCCTGGAGTAGACAGCATCTGAGCCAAGTTTTGTAGAAGACTCTTCTGTTATCTCAGGGATTTCCAGGCTCCAGTTTCCTTCCTCCACTGATTGAGCTCCTCCTTCTTTGTCCTAGAGGAGCTTGCCTTTGGAGGCCTTGGCTGTCCTCTACAAATGACCCGCCAAGGCAGGTGAGGAAACTCATAGACTCGGTGAGTTTGAGCCCTTGTTATACACAGTCACGTGCATATGCAGCCATGTGTATTCACACTGACCCGGTCCCTCTCCATAGAGCCCTTGACCTTGGTCCAGGGCTGCAGATGTGGGAAAGCACCTCCACAGCCTTGTGCACGTTTGATTCCGGCTCTGGGAGGAGGGCAGACCTGAGGTTTCCATGGCAATTTGAAAGATGAAGAGACAGGTGCCCAGAGAGGAGAGGGATTTGGGCAGACTCCACCAATAGTCTGTGGTAGAGCTGGTGCTAGAATCCTGATCTCCCGGCACCTAGCCCCAGTGTTCTACCCCCAACCCCATCCCCAAATCTTTGCTGCTCAGTAGAATTCTGTCTCCTGGACAGTTTCCAAAGAACACAGGTGTTACTGGGACAGGGGCAGAAAAGCAAACAACCTCCAGGATTCTGTGCACTTGTTTTACAACCAGAACCAAGACACAACTCTTGTTGTGGGGTGGGGATGGGCTGTCCCCAAGGATGTCTAAGGTTTCTTCTAGATTATCTTACCTGTAGGTTTGTGACCCCTGATACAGAGGAGGCAGTTTTCTGGCCATATACTTTGACCCACATGCTAGTTTTGCTTTGGACAGGCTACCGGTGGGGCAACAGGTGCCGAAGTCACCAAGGCTAACTGCAAGTTCCATCACCCTGTCAGGTAAGCTTCTGGCGCCAAGCTTGGAACTTGACATAGATCCATTAGCTCTTGAAATCCCCACCACAGCCCTGTGAAGCAGGTGTGGGGAGGCAATACCAGGATCATTCTTTTGTACACCAGGAAACTGAAGCCCAGAGTGGTTAAGGGAATTGGCCAAGGCTGCCTTCCCTGCAGGCACCATCAATGACCCCTAAGAATGAGCCCCTAGGGACAGGGTTAGTGAAGGAATCCTTAGTAGGACACGGAAGACACAGAGCTACCCAATTCTTGGCTAGGAGACCTTCTGAAGTGGGAGGGTGAGAGCGGGATCCATGTCAGATTTGTCAGGTGCTGGGGTGGGGTCTCCCCACAGCTGTAGGCCCACCAGACATTACCTTCCTGCCTGGAGTCAATTTGTAACAATCCAGAAAGTTCTGTGACAATGCTTGCTTTCTTCCTTTCCCTTTCACCTCATCGCTGCAGGTAAGGGAAGGAGTCTAGGGGTTGGCTTCCTTTTTGGCCTGTACATAGGAGACCTGTCGAAGTTAGGCACCATATTTCTTTTCTGTCCACAGGCTCTTCTGGCCTAAATCCCACTCTTTTGACTATTTGTACAGAGATGGGGAGATTCTACTGCAGAACTTCCCTGTCCAGGCCACCATCAACCTATATGAGGACTCAGACAGTGAAGAGGAAGGGAAGGAAGAGGAGGAGGAGGAGGAGGAGGAGGAGGAGGAGGAGGAGGACAAAGAAGAGGAGAAAAAAGAGAAGACAAATGAAAAGGGGCTGGAAGAGAATGGGAGGGCAACACGCATGGCCACAGCTCATCGTCCTTCTCCTCTCCTGTCGTGCCCAAACTGAACCAAGTCGGAGTCTGATTGGGGTTCCGGATGCTTGGCAAGCCTCTAGAGCATCAGTTTGCCGGGAATCTCCAGATACAGCCCTCTGGGTTGAAAGTTGTGTCCTCGAGTCACCAGGTCACTCTGGCTACATTCAACTGACCTGTGAGCCTAGGCCTCAGGCACCTCATTTTCTGTGTTGCTGTTGTGTGGAGTGACAGGATCCACGGAGCTCTAGGGGAAGACCTGCTTTCTGAAGCCCCCCAGAAGCAGATCAAGAGAGCACATGCTCATGCAGAGAGGAACAGTTACTCTTTGTGTGGGGTGGGGGTCTTTGACTCCCCAGCATTCTAGCTGGCCACAGAGTCTTGTCTCCCCACAGAAATCCTGACATCTGGCTTCACCTCCAGGGATACCAACATCAGATCCAGGCAAAGTTAGAGGCACCTCTCTAATGGGCCTTGCAGGAAAGGAAAGGTGCATCTCGAAAATCGGCTTGCTTTGGGGACCTCCATTTTGCCTGCTATCCACTGGGGTCTGTGTATTTGTATGAAACTAATCAGGAAAAAAATAAACTAGATGATGTGTGCCCTTTTCCTGGAACTGTGCAGATTTCTTAACTGAACTATGCCCATGTTGTGAAGCCACAGGCAGAGGGTCAGAGACCAGCTCAAGGCCAATTCATTGCCTTACCTGAGGTCAGTTGACAGATTTTACTCCATGGGGATATAGGGCCAGGGACCCAGCATGGGGCCAGGCTCTCTCTGTCGACTTGTGAAATCAGTTAGGCTTGCTTAAACTTCAAAGGCAGCTTAAGAAAGTAGCAAAAAGGCTCCCAAAAAAGCAGCTTGAAAGTTGGGAGGATGGCTGAGAGGAAGAGTGAGAGGTACAGCCTCAGCTGAGCTTTGGAGATGAGTATATGTATGTGTGTGTGTGTGTGTGTGTGTGGCGGGGGGGGGGGGGGCGGGGGGTTTCAGAGGGTCACTAATCCCCTGTCAACTTTATCTCCTCGATTCCCTTTGTATCTACCACAGTTCAGGTCTTCAAGCCTCTCCTGCCCCAATTAACCTGACTAATATTCTTGCCTCTGGCAGGTCCCTTTGCAATTCACCCTCCTCACTGGCCACCGGGTCACACCATGTTGTGCCCCTGTGGAAAACCCTACCATGGCTCTTCCCTCACTTCCCAACAGCTGGACTGATCTTTCTTTTTTAAATTTTGATCACACACCCTCTTGAGAATCTAGGGCTTCTCTCTTCATATATTCCCAAACCAAGTCCTTAATTTGACATTCTAGGCTGTTTGACAGCCTGGTCCTTGCCTGTCTCTTCAGACTCAGCTTTCAACAGTTGAAGCCTATGCTGTCTGTCCTTCAGTGCGTTCATGCTTTCTAACACCTTCTGTAGCTTTAAGCCCCTGTCTGGAACGCCTCACCACTTTTGTATGTCTGGTAAGCCCCCATTCACCCAATAGGACTAGTTACTGTGAGGAGCCTCCCCACACCTTCCAGTCCAGGCTGGGTGCCCCCATATATTCAGTACCTCCTCTACCATAACATCTGCCTCTCTTCCTATGCAGTAAGATGGGGCTGTGTTTGATAGCCCCTTGTGACTTTATCACACAGCACGTTGCCTGGCGCAAAGGACATACGTACCCAGGGAACGCTGAAGGAAAAAGATTCTCAGGTCTTCTTAAAGAACTACCTCTGACCCTCCACTTGCTAGCTTCCCGTATCTTTGATTAGCTACAAACAGGGCAGGGTAATGTCATGTGACTCAGGAACAAAATGCTGGCCATATCTCCTTCTCCTTCCGCTTGAGACAGGCTGCTTCAGTTCTGAGCCCTAGCTGGGAAGTACCTGACTTTGGATAGACTTTGAGCGGGCCACCAAACGCACACGCTGGTGCCATCTGTTGGTCAAGATTTAACCTATTTCCTTAATAAAGGCCACCAGACAGTTGACCTTTGACCACTGTAGTTCTTTTAGTCCATTCTGTTTCTGCTTCTAAGTAGAGTGGAAACCACCATGTGCCAGCTGTATGACTTTGGGCAAGTGACTTGTCCACTCACAGCCCCAGTCTCCTCATCTGTCAAATGGAGAAAATACTTCCTCTCAGGGCTGTTGTGAGAATTCAAAGAGACAATAGATGTAAAGTATTTAGCACAGCCCCTGGCACATAGTACCAGCACTCAGTAAATGTAGTTGTCATCACAATCATAGCTGGAGTAGTGGTTATTACTAATTTTATGACAAACATGAGCTTATCTGTAGAGTCAGCTAATGACTACTTTACTCAACTAATGACTGATTTATCTTGATCCACATGATCTCGCTGGCACTGTTTGGTTTACCAGTAGAAGAATCTTTGTAATGTCGTTTTTTTTTTTGTTTTTGTTTTTTGTTTTTTCTTTTTTAAAAGGTCAAATGTGGCTTCCCTCTACAGGTTTCTGACCCCTTTTTCCTAGGACAGAGGTTTCAAAACGTATTTTTTGTGCTTTAGCAGGAACACCCTTCTCTGGAATGGAATGCAGAAGCCCAGTATGGAAACCAACTGAAGACAGGGTTGCCCTGGCGGGAGGCACAATGGCTGATGCAGATTTCCTACCCTATTGTCCTCTCTCCCGTAAACTAACTCCACCCTTCTGTGAGGCATCTTCAGGGATCCCTGGTTTTGGGGAAGATGGCTTGGAGACTAGTGTCCCAAGGGTTAAAACAAGATTGATTTGCAGCTGAAGGGGGATTAGTATTTTAACATGTTCAGTGTTCCGTTTAAAATCCTTGTTTTGGGTCCTAAGCTTCCAGCATTTCATAGCTCAAAAATTGCTCAAGTCCTTGTGCCATAGGTTGTAGGCATTTAAGATCCTTGGAATCCCAATATCCTTGGTTTTAGGGTATTATATAGCATAGAATTACAAATCCCTAAATCCCCAGGGGTTTAAAGACCATAAAGCCCTTGGAGCAGTAATTCTTAACTCAGAATGAGCTCCTCTCACTTTCCCTCCCCTCCTCCGCCTTATTGCACACGTGCTATTGGTCAGTGGCAGACATTTTGGCTCCCTTTCCTCCCAGTTCCCTGCCCCTAAAATGGCTCCCAACCCCGCACCCCACCAACACCCCCACACATGGTTGCTAAGTGATTGGACTTCACTGTTATGACTAAGAAGAGCCCAGTGTGAATTGCTTTGTCATTGGTGTTTCCCGTCCTTGTAGCAACTTCAAATCCGGTACACAAAGTCAGGAGGCAGCTCTCTGCCAAATTCAGTCTTCCCTCCAGCTCCATCTCAGCTGGTCCATCCTAGTGTCCTACACTTCCTCACCCCAGCACTAATGACTCCCGTATCCCCCACCCAAGAGCAACAGAGAGAGGCCACATCAGTTGAGTGTGAGCCTGCATCTGAGCTGGGCTTTGAAGGACGGACCCAGGTAAACATGGAGGGAGAACACTTTCCAGAAAGAGGCAGCTGTATGACTTCCTTCATTACATAAATATTTATTGAGCACCTACTCGGTGTCAGGCATTAATATTATAATGATTTAAGAGCATGGGCTTTGGAGACAGGTGTATCTGTGTTCAGATCCCATATCTGCCACATGCTGGCTCTATCCATAGGTCCACTCTGCTCCGGTGCCAACTCAGCTACCAGCTCTCTGCTTATTCTTCTTTGGTTCTAGGCAAAGAAATCCCTCTTCTCTGCCCTGGTGGGTAATACCAACCTCCATCTCTCTCCTCCTCCCAAAATTGAACCTGTGTGGTGATAGTGGGCAGGTTTTCTTCTTTCTGCTTCAAGCCCCTGTTGCAAAATTGTTGCCAATCATACTCCCAAACAAGGTTGTTAGGTGGCTGGAGTTCCCTGTTTTGACCTGTCAGGAGCTTGCCGTTTGTTACTGTGTTATTCGTTTATTCCCAGGTGGGGAGGCTTGTAGCAACTTCCATGCAAGTACCGAAACCCAGGTACAAAACCTTGGCAAAGAGGTCAGGTGCTTGGGTGGCTCTGTTGGTTTAAGTGTCAGACTCTTGGTCTTGGCTCATGTCATGATCTTGTAGTTTGTGCGTTTGAGCCCTGTGTCAGGCTCTGCACCTGCAGTGTGGAGCCTGCTTGCGATTTTGTCTCCCTCCCCCTCTCTCTCTCTGACCCTCCCCTGCTCGCGTTACCTCTCTCTCTCTCTCTCTCTCTCTCTTTCTCAAAATAATACATAAACATTAACAAAAAAGAAAAACCTCAGTAAAGAGTGAGTACTCAGTAAGTGGTAGTCACCACACTCTTTGCCAGGTACTTGCTATTCATGTTACACCCAAGATCTCCTATGGCACTATAAACACAATAATCTTAGGAGACGGGCACAGTTATTATGCCCATTTATGCATGAGAAAAACTAAGAGGTAGCAGGTTTTTTGTACCTGGGTTCGTGTGCTTGCGTGGAGGCTGAGTCTTGTAAGCAGGGAGTAAGCCAAAAACACAGTCGGCAGCACCAGGTCCCTGATAGAGCAGAACAGTGAACTCAGGCCACCATTTTAAGCCGGGGGTTAGGGAGGAAAGGGGACAAACTGCCTATTAGACAACCATGCAGACATAGTTGGGGGTTGGTGGGTAGGTGGGTTAGGGGTAGGTGTTCCCTCTGCATAGGGAAAGCAACCCCTTCCACCACTGAGCCAGCCCTACCCAGAAGGGACAAAGCAATGGGGTGGCTAGGAAGATACGAGTCACAACAGCTGATCATCACCGAATTCTTCCTATGGACTGGGCACATGGCTAGGAACCTTACAGGGATTAATTCGTTCATACAACAACCCTGAGGGATGGGTGCAGTTAGGAAAACTGAGACTTTGGGTGGTTTTTAAAACAAACTTGCCCCAAATCACACCACTGGTAATCCGTAGCACTTTCTAAGTGCCAGACACTTGACATGTATCATCTAATTTAATACTGACACCAATCGTAAATTGTAAGTATTAGTATAGATGAGGAAACTGAGGTTCAGAAAGATTAAGGAATGTGCTCAAGGTCACACATTCGTAATGGCTGAGCCAGTTTTTGGGCGATTACACTACTTGCCCCGCGTTGCCCCGGTGATCAGCAGGACCAGGATTCACTTCTGTCTCATTCCAGAACCCTGTGCTTTCAGGCTTGGTGAAGGACTGAATCTATAGGAGGGCAGGAAGAGGCAAAGCTTCAGTGCTGGCTGCAGGGAAGTGAGTCAGAGGTTAGGAGCAATTCTGGGCCAGGAAAAACTGACAGATGCTGAAAGGTGTCACCGAGGGAGGGATGTTCGGGGCCTCCTTCAGGGCAGTGGCAGTTTCCCACAGGACTTGGGCTTCCTCGGGCACAGGGCTACCATGGGTCAGGGGCTGATGAGGGACTTCTCCCGTTCCTGCCTCTCAGAGCTGTGTGGACTCTGAGTGGAATGAGCCCCTGCTGCGCATCCTTCTTTCCGGCTGAAGAGTCTGGGCCCAGAGGGAGGAACTACCAGTGGCCGCGGTGGTATGCCACGCACTGAGCTCAGCACCGCACATGATTTATCCCGGACGAGGTTCGCCAAACGCCAGCTGGGTGAGTGGTGCTAGCCTCATGTTCACAGATAAGAAAGTCGCTCAGAGAGGTTAAGCTGAGGGGACAGCCTGGGCAGTATAGCTGAGTCCTATAGGCTCCTAACTATAGGCTCCTCCTACCCTCTACTGATTTCCCCAGAGAAGTCCTGGGGAAGAGAAGTCATGAAAGTCCTGTAAAGATGCACAGCTTTCCTGCTCTCCTGGGCCATCCATGGAAGAGAAGCTCAACTACCCTGCAAAAGCATTTCTATCCCAATTACTGGGGACACTGGGGCGCGGAGCCAAGTGTAAATCAAAAGAGGGTTGAGGGAAGTCCCAAGAGCAAGCTGGAGTCAGGCTCTGGGTTCTTCACGAAGTCTTCCACCCCTGAGGGAGAGAACAGCTAGCTCCCCCCGAGGCACAGCAAGTCACCTGGGCTCTAGTAACAGCAGGAGATGCACTGCCCCCTAGTGGTCGAACTCGAGCCTGAGCCTGGACCTTTTTCACTAGGATCTGGAGGCCCATGTACCCAGAGGACTGCACCGCCAGCAATCTAGCGCCTGGTGGTTATGGGGACAGGCTCTGTAGTCTCAGGGGACCCTAGGTTCATGTACTGGTTCTCTTCTTTGCTAGCTAAGTGACCATGGGCAAAATAGCACATTAGCCTTTAAGCCTCAGTTTCTTCTGTAAGATAAAGATAGTACTAATTTCACAGGGTTACTGTAAGGATTAAATGAGATAATACATGTCAAGGACTTAGCAGGGTACGTAGCACATTATAGATGTGAGATACAATGGTATATATATATATGGCACTGTTATTTTTTAACTCTTCCCTGCCATCTTAACTCCTCGAGCACTGTTCTTTTCTGACATATCTTAATCATCTTAGCAGTTTCATCTTTGACTCTTCGGGACTTTTCTATCTTGCTGTATTAGATCTCAGATACCCCCAAGCCCACTGTCTTGCCCCAAGGGCAGGTACTGTCAACACACTTAAGGCTTGTGGGCAAGACCTGGGCGAAGATGCATGTTTTCCTCCACATATACTTTTTAAAAATTAATTAATTTTGAGGTAGAGTGAGAGCACAAGCGGGTGAAGGGCAGAAAGAGAGGGAGACAGAGAATCCTAAGCAGATTCTGCACTGTGGGCTTCGAACTCGGGAACCATGAGATCATGATCTGAGCTGAAATTAAGAATCAGACACTTAACCGACCGAGCCACCCTTGCTCCCCTCTCCGTATATACTTTTAAAGACTCTTGGGCTGTACATCTTTGTGCTTCACTATCCTGTGAATGTTAATAAGCTTGCTTTACACAGTTTTTCTGCGTTTCAGAGCAGCTTTATATCCGCTATTTTATGCGAATCTCTTAATACTCCCCATATGTTCCCAATTTTCAGTGAGGAAATTCAAGATGATTGGAACAGAAGTGACTTGTTCAATGTGGCACAGAAAGTCAGTGCAGGAGTTAAGACTGGACCCCAGAGTCTTGTGTTGAGTCCAGTGCTTTTCCACCAACCCTTGCAACCACCCAGGGCCCTGCGCTCTGGCTAAACGTGAAGAAGCATCGATAACCCAGGACATGGCTTATTGTTTGGAAGCCACACCGCCTGCACTCTGATGACAGGTTTCTTGCTTCTACTGAGGCCAAGCTGAAACCCCAGTAAATGATCAAACTATGATTCTCCTAAAAGAAGGGACAGCAGACTACCAGGACTGGTGGCCCAAGACTGACACATGTCCAACACATGCCAAGAATACCATAAAATGTTAGCTGGCAGGTTTGAGGAGAGGTGAGCATTATCTCCCCAGTCAAGCTGCATGTGATGCTGAGAAATTAACTTTTGTCCTGTACTCACAGCTAGCTTGATTTAGCCATTCACCTCATATTGGACACAGCTGTCAGGGGCTCAAAAGGCCAGCTCTGTCCTTAGTATGTGCAAAGACTGGGAAGTGTTGATGCATGGCACGAGCATGTGTGCTGACGGCAGTACCTGTTTGCAGGAACTGAGGGAAGCAGCATGTTAATAGCTCTCTCAACGTTGCTTGACGTAATTCTGGGAGTAGAGGAGGCAGGCTTGACTGTCAGTATGAGGGGCTGGCCTGCTCTCCAGCACATTGGCAACAGCACAGGTGCTGCCGCGATAACACAGCATTGAGTGCAAGGACCCCCTCCTCAGCCTACATGTGACACCGAAGCCGAGCTTGGTTCTCCTGAGGGGAAAATCTTGTTACTCCCCCGTCTCCCGGAGCGTTGGATCTCTGGGTGGCACTGAATTTCTTTTTCTGCTGTCACTTGCTTTTGATGCTCTTATCGCCATGGCAACCCAAGACAGGGAGCCAGCATTGAAATCCATTTCCCAATAGACATATGTGAAATAGCAAGTGTGCTCTCTCTCTGTCTCTCTCATTAGAGAAAAGGAACATTTTTTAACCCTCTCTTCACGCTTCTGCTTTGGTCCATGGTGGAGAGGAAATACACTCACGATTCAAGGTGCTTGATATACGTCTTTCTTAAGTCTTCCTGCATAAGAGCTACTCATCTGGTTGGTCTGAGGTGAATCATTAGGGCGGCTTCTCACCAGTGAGCAAGGTTATCACAGTGAAAAGTCATCAACATCTATGACTATATAGCCACTTCCTCCAGCTCTGGGTTTTTAGGTCGGGCCAGTTTGTTCTGACTATCTTAGCCTCTCAGATTCAGATGAGAGAGAATAGCATAGGCTGCATTTTCCAATCCATTTTTTTTTTAAACTGAAGAACCCTGAAATATAAAGATAGAAAGAAGAGGAGAGGGGTTACCAAGCATGTGCTGAATCTCAAATCAAGCCTTTATTATTAATGACATTTTCCTACTGCTCTGCTAATTGTTCCTTGTGCTGTAGCATTCTGAGGGGAAAGCTTTGAGAAGTGTGAGTGGTAGGATTCACGCATGAAAACCCCTCCTTGAACCCACAGGAAGGTTTGCGTAGGGTCTGTCTTGTCCCAACCTTTTCCTCACCTTCCACTGATCTCTGATTCCCTGGGGAGCAAATTTAGTTTGAATTCAAATTCCATGTTGAGCTTGTGTGTAGCTCTTTCATGGACACTCAGAAGCGATCTATGTAGTGAAATTGTTAGCCTGGGAGCAGGGGCTTTGCCTTGGGCTAAGAGTGACCATTTCCCCTGCTCAAACAGATCCATTCAAACTTAATTATCAAAACACTTTTGGAAAACTGAGGCACAATTTCCACAGGTAAGAAAAGTTTAAAATAAAAACCCATTGGGGGGGAGGAGGGATGGGCATGGAGGAGGGCACTTGTGGGGATGAGCACTGGGTGTTATGTGGAAACTAATTTGACAATAAACTATTTGTAAAAAAAAAAATAAATAAATAAAATAAAATAAAAACCCATTCTTGGTAAACTTGTCAGATTTTATTCACGGTTATTGGATATTTTCTGAGGTAGGGGCAGTTTTTGTGGGAAAGGAAGAACACCAGAATCAAAAGACTTGACTCAGGTACCTGTTCAGGTGCTGTCATTGTTATCTGTAACATCTGGGATAACTGACCCAGTTTCCTCGTCTCTAAAATGGGGACAGTCTTTAGCCTAACAACACCACAGCCTTGTTGGAAAGGAGGCTTGAGGGCACAGTTATATAATGAAACCACTCTGAAAGTTGTAAAATGTTCTATGTAATTGCATTTTAATAAGCACCGTGAAAGGAACTTCAGTATAATAGTCTGCCTTTCAAAATGTAGACACAAGCCCCAGAAATTTCTGGAAGAAAAACCCTTGGAGATCTGGCAGAAAAGACATTCAGGGAAAATTACTGGAGAAACTAAAGTTCGTAGCTTCACTCCTAGAGGTAGCTCAAATATTTCCATTTTTCTGTCTGCTCAGCCTTTCCTGGGTACTCTGTTTCCTACTCAACTTGGAGAAGCTGTCAAAGAGGCTCTGTCTTGTACCAAACTGAATTTGGAAGCAGAGGCTCTGCCTGAATTGCTGGGAGTGGTGACTTTTGATAGTTGCCATTGGTAATGGCTTACAGAATCTTCAGTTTATGCTATTTTTCCACAGGTAGGCTGCTTGCCCATTTGAGTAAAATGAATGTAGGCTGCTCTGAATGTACTCAGTGTGTTATGAAAGTGCACTTTTGTTTTCTATAAGCTACTTTAAGGACTCATGTTATTAAAATTCCAAAAAGATGCTGGAAATTAAAAGAAAATTCTCTAAAATGGTGGGAAAAGCTTACAAATAATCCATAAAAGAGTTACTACAGGCACAAGAACACCCCCAAAATGGTAGGACAGAACCCAACTGACCAAAACATTTGCTGAAACAAAAAGTAAAATGAAGGCAGAGTCATGGGAATACAAATGAAATTACTGAAACTAAGAAAGCTTCTTATTACTTCTAAAATTATTTTTTTCTGTTTATTTTTGAGAGAGAGAGAGTGAGAAGGAGGGAGGGACACACACACACACAGAGAGAGAGAGAGAGAGAGAGAGAGATGCAGAGTCTGAAGCAGCCCCAGGCTCTGAGCTGTCAGCACAGAGCCCAACACGGAACTCCAACTCATGAACCGTGAACTCATGACCTGAGCCGAAGTAGGACACTTAACCGACTGAGCCATGTGGGCATCCCTCTTCTTACTTCTAAAAAAGAGAAAGGTGGAGATACTAGTCTTTTTGCAATATATTATACACTTTTGTGTACCTCTCCCTTCCTAGACATACAAAACCATAAATAGTTCCATGAAGAGTTAGTTCAAAGGAAAATCCCTTACTACTGAGTAGAAGGTAAGAATTATAGATGTAGATGTCTGCAAGTCTTCCTTGTATCATTTTTTGTGAATCTAAGAATATTACATTGCAGTTGGAGACACCACAACTGAAAGTATAAAGAAGAGCATATGATTTAAAAGAAATAGACAGTGGATGAGAGAATTAGCCATATTAAAAATGCTTACAAAAACTAGTATCTGAAAGTGCAAATCTGGGGTTGGGTTAGGATGGTAACATTAGATGTGATTTTACTGTATGTTCTCTCTCTCTCTCTCTCTCTCTTTTCTTTTCCAAATGCTGCTTTAAGAGCTTTCACTGTTTTTAGACTGTTAAGGATTAGTCAGTCATTGAAAAAAGGAAGATTAACTTCAAAAGAGCAACGGTAAAACTGACAGCTTGATGGAAGCCATAGAAGCCAAGAGACAAGGTGATGATATTGTCAAACGGCTGGAAACATCTTAAAAAATGAAACTACAGAGTCAAATTTGATATCCAGCAAAAATCTCTTTCAAAAGTGAAGGGAACATGCCCACACAAATATGTCCAATTGATTCTTTACAAAAGCACAAAAGCTTTTGTATTCGATAAGGAAAGAGCCTTTCCAGAACATGGTGCTGGAAAAACCGGACATGCAGAGGCAAAACGGGAACCTCAACCCCAACCCCCAAGATATGCAAAACTTAATGCACAGTGGATAACAGGCAAATGTAAAACACAAAATTAAGAAACATCTGGAGAAAACCATAGCAGTGCATTTGGGGGATCTACAAGTGGTCAGATAATTCTTAAACTTGAGACAGAAGCACCATAGCATGGAGGAAAAATGGATACATTGGACCTCATCAAAATGTGATGAATTACATAAAAGACAAGCTATATACTGGGAGAGAATATTTGCAAGGCTCATGGCCAAAAAAACGGTCGTGTCTAGACTACAAAAAGGACTCCCATAACTCTACAGTCAAAAACCAAACAATCCAACTAGAAAATGGGTGAAAAACATGAAGAGACATTTTATTGGAGAGGATATTATACATGGCAAACAAGCACATGAAAAGATGTTCGACGTTATTACCTATATTCGCTGACTACAGCTGCCAGAACAAAGCACTATAAACTGCCTTCAACAACGGAAATTTATTTTCTTAAAGTTCTGAAGGCTAGGGGCACCTGGGTGGCTCAGTTGGTTAAGCATCTGACCTGACTTCGGCTCAGGTCATGATCACACAGTTTGTGGGTTCGAGCCCCACGTCAGGCTCTGTGCTGACAGTTAGTTCAGAGCCTGGAGCCTGCTTCCGATTCTGTATCTCCTTTTCTCTCTGACCCTCCCCTGCTCGCTCGCTCTCTCTCTCTCTCAGAAATAAATAAAACATTTTTTAAAAAGTTCTGAAGGCTAGGAGTCCAAGGTCAAAATGTTGGTATGGTTGATTTCTTTTGAGACGTCTCTCCTTGGCTTGCTGATGACTGCTCTCTTGCAGGCTCTTTACATGGATGTCCCTCTATGCACATGTGCCCCTGGTAATTTCTTTTCTTCTAAGGAAAGCAGTCATATTGGATTAGGTTTCACACACACACACACACACACACACACACTACATAAATACAATTAAAATGAGAAATCTCAATAAGGTCAGTGTACGGAATCAATATCAATTTCCTAATTGTGATATTGTACCATGTTTATGAAAGATGTTCCCATTGGGAATTGGGCAAAGGTATTATGGGCTCTTTCTACACTATTGCTTACAACTGCATGTGAATCTAAATTATCTCATAAGAAAACATT